GCATTGCCGAAGGTGTCTCCAGCATAAATGACGTCAGCGGAGGCCCGCCCACAATGGGCGGAGCGTGCCTCGAAGCTCACATCCCTTCTTACATTTATATACGAAAATTCATAACTCCGGTTCCCATGGACCTAGAGAGTTCAAATTTGGTAGCAGTACAGGTGGCATGATGGGAAAACTTATGATTGGTGGGAGGACCAGCTCCCACAGGGGGCGGGGTTTGAGCTGAAATTCATAGATCCTGTCCCGTGGACCTAGAAAGTTCAAACGTGGTAGGAGTACAGGCGAAAGGGTGGGAACACCTATGGTGAGTGGCAGGACCAGGCTGCGCCCACAGGGGCGCGGTTTGAGCGGAAACTCGTAGGTCCGATGAAGGTCTATAATGAAAATCAGCTCATGTAGCTTCGTCCCTCATGGCTAGAGCCCTAGCGCACGCGATAGCGTGCGCAGCCGCCTGGTCACAGATAATTTTATCTTTGCTAAAGGATACATATTTAATATCTTCGTTCTTTCGCCTTTTCACACGTTTTTCTGCTGTAATTGCTTTAATTATGCCACCTTAACAGGATTCATAGTGCCGTCGACTGTTTCGTTGATGTCATCTGCTTTCTAAGTCACGTACTCACTTCCCTTGATAGTATTTCTTTCCTGCCAGACCCACGGTTGAGGGTGTCCGCTGAGTTGGAATGATATTGGGCGTGCGAAACATGTGTCAAAGAGAATTACTTAAATGCCATCAAACGCTATTTCGATAAGAGGTGGAATACGATGACATCCGCCTTCTCTCCCCGATTAGCTGAGAAGAAAAGCAGAGTGCAAGGGTCTTAGCTCTCATTTTACTTTGAATTTATATTTGTCTTTGTTATTTTTTATCATGACTTCAGCCTTATAAAGCTTTTATTCAAACCTCATGCAGAATTTAAGAAAGCAATTCAATAATACAGTGGTTATGCTGAGGTTCATAGAAAGCTTACCTCGAAATAAACTGCATTGTCATCGTTGAAACTTTAACTACTGATGCAGTGGAAAATTTTTGCCACCATCATTAACAGAAGTATGAAATGTCTGGCATGTCCAACCTCGGTTTGGACGGAGCCCGTGCATTCATCTTCCCCGTGAGAATAGTGGTTGCACATGAATGTATTCGGCTTAGGTCAGCAGATGCCATTGCGTCTGCGACGCCCCGCCATAGAAACAGATTACCGTATGCGCGGCGACCTCGTCTATTCTACTCAGGAACTTTTGTTGGTGAAAGGACGTTAGATCGGCTCTGTATGTTGACTTTGGAAGGTACTGATATATCTATTCGGGAACGCAACATCTTGAACGGTAATGGTGTGTGCACCTTTATCTAAAGGTCTTCTGTTGTTTGGCCATGTAAGTTTTTTTTGCTGTTTTCTGCGATTTTTTTTCTTGACTAAGGTCAGGTACCACTTGACTTTGCCAGAACGCTAAGGCGCTCTCAGATACAGATGTTAATCGTTGGATCATACTTGTAAGGTGGTGCAAAGTGCTCTACAAAGAATCCATTCGGCGTCAGTCACCGAAACTAAGTCAGTCACCGAAACTCTAAAAGTCGCACTCCTTCACTACAGCCACGGTAAATTTTCTTTGTAAAGCGCAGTCACAATACATCCGAAGTTATTGAGCGTTTGATATCGTTTCATAAATACTCTCATGTTTTAAAATTAGGACTCATTTTTCTGAACAAAACATTATCTGAGACGGTTGAAAAGAAAGTTCGAAAAATTCAGACTATTTCATGCTTGCCTTTGTTTTGTTTTGCCGGTGTATGAAATTGGACCAGCTTGGGCGTGTACTGTTTGCCTATCTGTCCCACCCTCCTCTCCCCTAGCACTGCCTCCGCCGGCACGCGCGCCGGCCGGCCGGCTGGCCGGCGGACTATGAAAGCAGCCAATGGCAACAGAAACTCGTTCAACCAGATTATAAAACTGACAACAACTTGGCCTCGGGTAGCTATAAAATCGAGAGAGTAACAAGAATAGATGTCGCTAAAGCATTATCAAATGCATGAGATCGGACTGCGATGAATTTATCTTACGAACTTATTACTAGATGTTGTTGTAGGCGAGAAAGGGCTACCACTAACCTTCATTTGGGTGGTAAGGGTCTTACCAATGTCTACCATATTCTTGTAGATAATGCAGGAAATGCGTACATAAGGGTGAACCTTTCGCCCAAAACTGAACAGAAGTCATCGTAATCATGTGTTTCACTCGCTTTTTTTTTTCTCGGAGCGAGAGGGTTTCGGCTGACACCAGTAGACCTGCAAAAGGCGACAAACACCAATGCGTTCAAAAGGGATTGAGGAAGGCGGACCTACTCGCCTTGTTAAGATACAGAGTTTCTGGGGTGTCAAGCCTGGAGAGTTCCTTAAGAGTATGGTGTTTCTCATTGTACGTTTTTGTTTATTTTTTGTTTGTTTTTTTGCACATTAGTGTGTATATTGAACAAATAAATTATAAATAAATTAAATCAGACAACGATATGGAATAGTCTGCGCCTAAATTTATTTTGAAACTGCTGCAAGGGCTTTTCTCGGCGCCGTTCTGACGGATTGAACCCTGTAAAACCGTACTCCAAACTGGTCCGGCGCAAGTTTGATAGGCAGTGTCGATGCCTTCTGAAAAAGTCAAGATTTTTATGGCGTGTATTATATTGAGCGGTCAGGAGAAGCACAGCATGATGTTCCATTGATGAAGGCCGCGGTGTCTTTGCCTTACACAATACGATCTCACTGGTTTCCTACTTCAAGTCGTCCTCGAGAACTTTTGAGGGTAAGGCTGCTTTCCGTAAAGCGGGTCCACCCCTTTCGACAACATTCCGGAAGGAAGTGAGCATGACATATATCGCTAGTGCTATAGAATCCCCAAAACTTCGTGAGCTCCCACGACTTCAATGAGCGTGATATTCCGATCCAAGGAGAAAATCGATGTGACTTATTCAAAGAGAGAAAAAAAAATCCGTCGAGGATTTGCAATGTTGCAATTTTTCCTTATTGATGAATGTGAAGAACGGGAAGAACTAATTCTCACTTGTTCTTATCAGATTATTCCTATCAATATCATTTGCTTACCCCTGTTGTAGTTAATTCCACTGCCTCCCTTTCATTTTCATAATATCTCTTTGCAACCCGGTGTTAGGGTAAGAGAGAACTTCCCCGTTTCTGGAAATCGTTCACTATGATCTTTGCTAAAAACGTTGAGTCCAGAAAAAACCTCACATTGTCTCCCCCTTGGCGTGTTGTCTTTCCATCATACCTATGCTCACTATAAGACTCACCACATTGATTATGTCCGGTTATTTATAGTCTTTAAAATTTTCATTTCCATCCAATCATCTACTTTGTTCTATCGCACATTCTTTTTTTTTTTCGCGAAACTGAGTTTGGTAACTGTCTAAACATCTGAAAATCGTGTGAAAAATGTTTTAATTTAATTTCTTTTGTTTCAGAAAAAATGCCTATGGTAAGAGTTGCGACCAATTTGCCAGACAAGGATGTTCCTGCTAATTTCGAGGTTTGATTCATCTCACGAAAAGTTTTGGAATATTGAAGCTCGCCCTCGCATTTCAAATTCAATTCTAGGAACGTCTCACCGACTTACTGGCGGAATCCATGAATAAACCACGTGCAAGAATCGCAGTCGAAATGATGGCCGGCCAGCGTATTATGCATGGTGGTGTACGAAATCCTGTCGTCCTAATTAAGGTACATATACTGTACTTATAACCTGGAAAAATGATACTCTGAATCACCCCGAATACTTATCTGTATGTGGGGGTCTGCAGTGACACTATGAAGGGTTGCGAAAAGTTTCATGGTCAGACTTCCATGATGTAGGTGCTGCTACTGCACCAGGAACTTCTTCCTCTTCAGGGTCAGAGACTAGCGCAATTCTTGAAAATTTTTCGGGTATCAAATCCACTCATATTTTAAAGGTGCTCTGTGATTGCATCAAGGTATCATGAAAAGTAGTGGCTCTCAACTCCTGAAAACGGACCTTTTATGGCCCTGCCAGAACAAATATTGTTTTTTTCTGACAATGAGTATGGTTCAAGAAGCACAATTAGCATTGTCGCTTGCCACGATGCTCCACCACCACTGGAGCTCTGTGCGACTCCAACCTTGATAGGATAAATCGCATTAAACGGCATTGTGCCTTCCTGCAAACTCTCTCGGGAAGAGACTACACCTATGAAAAGACAGAAACACAGTTCATAAAATGAACAGCTCCTTTTCGAGAGATAGAGGGGTCATAGTAATGAAATTCTTTTTTGGGTTCGTCGCCATTCTCGGAGCAATGGTGACCTTCAATTCAAGATATGGTAGCACCGGGATTGTTTACTTCTTTGTTGATGATGCCAAATTTCACAATTTTGTCGATCTTTTCCCGTATCTACCTTCTGCAAGAAGCTGAAGGACAGACTAGAAAAAATAAACAGTCCAGAATTGCACTTCAATTCTCTGCTTCTCTACTTAACCTAAACTTTATGCTACCTCTGAACTCGGTATGTGTAATTCTCGAGAGGAAGGAATCCATACTGCTGCAAGCACGTGCGACATTTTTCTTCTTTGGGGAGGTTTCCTTCCTTTCTTCTTATGTTGTGAGAGATAAAAAAACCGCAAAAAATGATGACCTTCCGATTGTTGGCAATGTGACAAAGTTGATTATGGCATAGTTTGCACCTGCTATTTGAACTCGTCCATCAAAACTAATCTCCTTTTATCTGTGCAGCCATGATACACGGAAAAAGTCGGGATGTCAAATCTTGAAAGAATTCTGGAGGTTTCAGGCTGATACATAGACAACGATGCTTGTTCATTATAAAGTCACCTTCAAACATTTGACATAAAATAATGTTTCTCGCAAATCTAGCATCATTCGAACGGTGCTGTGTCTTCGAAACGATGCTGAATTTGCGATCAAAAAAGCAATATTTTTGGCTCACCCCATAGCTCTGAGTTGATCTGGCTCGTAATTCTTTCATCCAAACTTCTCCACGTTAGTCAATCATAGTCTTTCTCTGTTGGGGTATTCATAAAAAGGTGAAGTTTCTAGCCTTAATCAATCCTGCTCTTGGAATGCGTCCCGCATTCAACCCCCAGTTAGAATCATATTGAATGCGCATGTGGCCTATACAATGACCAGCCGATGTACAAGTCAGTGCTTTTACCCTCTTAGACGAGTCTGGTACCGAGTTGCCGACCCCGGAGGGATGGAGTGCTTGGTTGGCCAAGGTGGATAGCGGTCCGCGAGCCGAACCCGTGACCTTGTGAGTGTGATAGTGCACCACTTGCCATTATACCACTTCCGCGCAACATAGTCTTAACTTGTAATCACGGTTGCCGGTTGTCACGCTTGTCGTGCGATGTATGTGTATAATTGCGTATGAGAAGCTAAAGTAAATGAAGAAAGAACAGATTTGTTTTTTTGGGTTAATTCGGTGGTTGTTGTTGTACTGTGTATGGATTGTGTTTGATTCATCTAAACTATTCTTCTTTAAAGCAAGTGTTTGCTGCAGGTGGAGTCGATAGGCGCTCTGGATCCCGACAGCACTATTCGTCACACTCAAAAAGTCACCCAGTTATGTACCGAAGTTCTACATGTGCCCAAAGACAAGGTGAATTGGTTCTTCCAATTTTGGTTCAGATCTTTGCCTTTAACGTAAATTCAAAGTTTTGTGTGAAAAATGATGGACCGCTAATGCTCTGGATTAGTCTTAAAATCTTTACCTCCGTGCTAGGGTGGTCACCACAAAGGGACTCTACGACGTTTGCCTTTTTNAAGTGAGTTTAGGGTGCTCTGCTAAACTGGACACTGTATGCCCGAACTTGCCTGGTAGTAAGTACATGTACAGTAAGTACACTACACACCAGCCTATTGTACATGCTGGTGCAAAAATTTTTTCTCTAAGGACACAGAGTTCTCTAGCGCTAGGAAATCTATACAAACTCTATCAACCGATACAAAGTGTCGTTTAACCAAAGGCGGGCATGACGGCTTTATTGCTTCTCCTCATTAAGAAAAGATCCCCTCTTACATCTATACAACTTCCAAAAGACACTGATTGATGAAGGTGGGGAAATAAGAACTCAACCTAATCGGATAATTACCAGTACCAGTCGCTTCACCTCATCCTTCCATAAGTGAGCAAATTGAACCTCAATTCTGCGAATTCCACAATCAACATAACCTTGTTTCTGAGTGCAACTTCTTTCGGGACACCTTCCGTCGAAGCGGGCAACGAGCAACTCGTCAAAGCGGGCACGAGCAGCTCGAACAGAGATAGTAGCTACACAACCCTCTACTATCACTGTTCGAGTTGCGGTTCTGAAAGATATGCAGTCGTGTTGTATTTATGCATGAAGATCGTTTCGTTATTAGTATTGGGGCACTTTTTTTCTCAGAAAGTGAAGTTTCAAAAAGTTCTCTCTCATTGAGCTTTCTTCGTGAGTTACTTCTGCAAAATGATAAGCGACTGAAAAAAATTTTTTAAAGTCTTCAAAACGACCAAATTCAAAATATAAGATCAATGAAAAAACTGTACTGTTTCGAGCAGAGTAAACTTTTTGACTTGATGTTTAGTTAACTGCTGTTATATCGCCGCAGTACGCGTTGCGAAAGTCTCACAACGTTGGCGAATTATGGACTAAACTTCAGTCTCGAACGGACTCGAATCCGTTCTTGTGCTTTCCGGGCAAATAATTTCGAATCGCCAACCTTGTGAATTCTTTTTCAAGGTTTATGACATTTTCAGCAGGTGATTTTCAATAAATGGAAATTCGTTTCGGTAACTGCTAAATCTTTGACTTCTAACAAAGGAAAACTTTTTTTGATGTGGTTACCGGGGGAAGGGGTGTATTCGTCGTAGATATGTGATCAGAAATTGTATTTCGAATTTCCATTTGTCCAGGAAAATTTTCAATATCTCGTTTCGGTAACTGCTAAATCTTTGACTTCTAACAAAGGAAAACTTTTTTTGATGTGGTCACCGGGGGAAGGGGTGTATTCGTCGTAGATATGTGATCAGAAATTGTATTCCGAATTTCCATTTGTCCAGGAAAAATTTCAATATCTAAAAAAGTCCAAACTTCCAAAATTTCTCCTTCCCTGTTTGAGTGGAAGCGTACTCCTAAGTTTTGCATTGACTCTAAAATGAATCTCACAGTGATTCAATCATAGTGACACTGCGTGAAAAAAGGTGAATGTAGATATGAATAGGTTGGAGAACGTCCGTTGCGCGTGTCCGTCGAAAGTAGGTCACCCCGCCCACTTCGCGCGCGGCGCATCACACTGAGGTCTCGAGATGACATTACAGTACTACCAAGTGTCATTGGAGCAAATGATTTGCATTTGTCTGTGTTATCTTCTTTTTGAACTGACTGCCGTGGACCAAACGCAAAGCGTACGCCCCAGTGGCAATTGCGACATCTGTCAAATA